CACACACACACACTCACACACACACACTGGTGCACTGCAATTATTTTGGCTTTGCCACTTTGGATCTGCAGCTGTGGAGACGGCAGTGAGGTGGAGAGGCAGCAGTAATAAAAAGAGAAATAAAAGAATACAACAGACCTTCCAGTCTAATATACAGTCATCCACCTGTACCACACAGTGTGCAAATGAAATAAATCCTTCTCAAAGATGGTTTCCATCATTTTAGGTGGTTCTCATCACACTTATGTGATTGTTCAATTGTTCATTTTTCTGGTAAGTTTAGTTTTAATTAGTTGTGTGACCATTGACAGCTGAGACTCATGATTGGTCGCTTGATCCTGGCTTTTCACAGTCAGCCCATCCAATCAAATCACTGGAAGAATATAAAAAATAGATTGCTGACATATTCTCAATGACTTTTATGGTGGAAAACACCAAACTACTTGAAAATAACAAATGCCTGTTCCATTGAAATCAATGATTTTTGCCGTGTCTCCGTTTTCCAGGCCGGGGTGACCTGATTGGCTCTGACTGTTTGACGCAGGAGGAAGTGATTAAGACCAACGCCTGTGTGAAGGCGTTGACCTACTGTGACCTGCAGTACATCAGCCTCAAAGGCCTCCGTGAAGTGCTCTGTCTGTATCCCGACTACGCCCAAAAGTTCATCACCGAGATTCAACACGATTTGACGTACAACCTCCGGGAAGGACACAACACGGAGGTACAATGTATTTCATCAAACATGTCCCTAACATTTTTTAATAATCTTTAATAGGATATAAGTTAGGGTCAAATCAACACAAATAAAGGTGCCAGCTAAGTTTTGCAATGTCCATCCATCCATCGCTGCTTTGAAACCTTGAGTTTTGCATTTTGTCTGGCGCCATCCTTTTGAAACCAGAGATAACTTTATTTGAAGGAGCAGGTTTGGAGCCTGACTGAGGGCTCGTTTAAGTTTACTGTTGATGCTCTGTCAGTCTGCCTGTGGATCTCTCACTCCATCTTTCTCTCACTCAAAACCCTGAGATACTTTTTTCTTTCACTTGGGGCAACAATGGCGAATCTTTAAAATCACTGCCTGGAAATGCAGCACAGTTTTGTCCAGTGTCCTTAAAGAGAATTCTGGCTAAAACCCATAATTAAACTCCTTCTGTTTTCCACAATCGTCTCAGCTGAGCGCCGACCCCCTCCGGCCAGCAAATTACACAGCGTTGGCGTGATGGCTTTGCACTTGCAAAAAAAGATTAGCCATCTGGACGAGGAATGAGGAGGAAGCTGCTAGAGATGCAGCCAACAGATAGAACTTAAGCTAAACATGGACGATACTGGTGCCAGGGATTTACAGATGGAACTCAGCTGCGGCGTACACATGAATAACTAGTGTACACTGGAAATAACCAAGTCACATTTTCAGTGTGAGTAAGCTGTTAATTAGAGCAGAGATCCAAGAGAAACGTCAGGGGACCAGACACTGTATGATCGTAATTCAACAACTTGTGTTTTGGCTTTAGAATACAGGACCAGAATATTAACACCTGGCCATGTTATTATAAGATTAACATCATATACTTAAATACTATGGATACCATTAAATACGTGCAGCTTGCACTACATTGGGCTCCGGTCGGGGTAGGACACAAAAAACAGAACGAGGACTCGTTAGTTTTCATTCTGGCTTGTCTGTTATTTAAAATTACAAAAAATAAAATGATGAATGGCCTGCATGTGAATCATTCAAATGAAACCAAGGTTTTTCCAGCATTTTCATACACTGTATAAATAAAATGAAATACACTTGTTCGCTTTCTTGCCAGCAGTCAGAGGAGAAGATCGATGTTTGTTGAATATGGAACTAGCCTATTCTTATTTACTGATCAGAAGGAAACAGGGAGTTAATCAATCCACCTATGAGCATCTCAAAAACTTTATAATTGATGTGCTTTATCCCTTTGTTTAGACTGAAGTGTAAAAAGGACATGTTTTGATTTCTTGGACGGTCGCAGTTGCAAACAAAATATCTTTAACGAAAATTGGAATCCTTGTGCAGCACCTTTCAATTCAAAGTGCTTTACACAAGGCAAAGAAATGCACCAAAACTAAATTAAAAACACAATGAGGAGGAAAAGAAAAGGACAACATTGACAAGACAGTATAATTACAGCATAACAGTTCAGAATCTAATGAAAGAAACAACGTTAATTAGAGAAAATGAATCAATCAAAGGCACATAAAGGAGAAAATGTATTCGATCTCTTTGCAGCTTTGTAATGTGCTGATTGTTTCCTTAAAACCACATGTTTACATTTTATATCAGAAACGACCACAAAAAAGTAAAACTGAATAACTGATTCTCATCTGTCTCCATCACAAGGATTTTTGTAGCTGACACCAGCCTGAAAACACACACATATACACACACACACACACACGTATGTAAACACGTGCAGCAGGAGCAGTAGTGCATCCTCCACAGAGTGTGGCATGGGGCTAAAAATAGAGCTGTCAGATGGGTGGAGGAGGGGCGGGGTCATCCCTGCCTGGGCTAAATTTAGAGGAACAACCAGATGGAGACGAGACGCGAAAAACATCAGTATGAAAAAGGACGAGGAGGAAGAGTCACGCTGATGTTTGCATTCATGTGCTGACACACACAGAGACATCACACCTACATATCATAACACAGCATATTTGTCTTTGCTGAATGATGAAGAGGGAAAATCAGACCCACACACACACACACACACACACACACACACACACACACACACACACACACACACACACACACACACGACCCATGTAAATGTGCAACATCTCTCACATGCTGCACTCACTTTCTTTGCACCCACAAAGACACACATTGGTTGATGCCCTTATTGTGACATGCTGCAGTGCATATCAAGGGTGGCACGTGCTGCTCTCTCTCTCTCTCTCACACACACACACACACACACACACACACACACTGAAATTCCAAACAGCCCCTTCCTCGCTCCGAACCCTCCAGGCAAACCTCTGCTAAAATTAAACCTCTGTGATCTAAAAATACCAGCCGGACACGTGAGCCAAAGACTGGATGGGGAAGACAACACATCGAGGGGGGGAGAAGGGGAAGAGTGGTGGTGACAGCGGAGGAGGAGGAGAAGAAGAAGAAGGGGAAGAGACGGGGATGAAATGAAAGGAGGAGATGGGATTTGTTTGCCAGTGTTTTAATCAACTTTCAATTTCAGTCCTGAGAAGATGAAGGGAAATATTAGTCTATTAGTTTTCCCCAAACACCAGCCATCAGCCACCAGTGAGAAGATGCTGACTGCAGGAACTTTATTTTATTAATATCTGTTTGAACTTTTCAGGACTAATGAGCATCTTTAAAGGTCGTCCATTCTTTAAATTTATTCTGAGATTAAAATAAAGCCTCAGAGGAGCCGCGTGTCTCTGCGAGTGAATGGTTTCGACACTCGCTTGGTTTTGAATGAGAACGCTCTTTGTGCAGCGCTGCCGATAAACTGAATGGATGTCGGTGCCATTGCATCCTTTGTGAATTGCAACCACTCGTCTGCGGCTCTGCAGCTCCACCACCTGGTCAAAGAGCTCCACCTCAAAACTGTGCTATTTCTGAGGTCTCATTAATTCACAAACTGTGTCCCAGTTCCATGCCACCTACTTAATTCAGGTTGGGAGTCTGTTGTGTGTTTACCCTTGAAAAGTGACAATAATATACTCAAAGTTTCACTGTGTGTACAAGATTCACAGATTCTTGAGAATGCAGCTACAAAAGAAGTATATTGATATCTATATATTTGGATTTTCACCCAAACTTTTCATGATAAAATGAAAGTACAGCATTTCTCTGATCACCATGATGACTGTGAACGACCGTCTTCACCAGTGGTTCCCAAACTAGACACTTTCTCTCTAATGTTGATTTTTCATTCTTCAGACAGACTGCGAGAGCAACGGAGGATTCCTGAAGAAGCTTCCCTCCATCAAGGAGGACGAGGAGGGGTCCGGGTCCGAGGGGGAGCACTCTCCCCTCGCCAAGATGTCCGCCCTCGGAAGCCTGGGCCGGGGGCTGCGCTCCCCACTGCGCTCCCCTCTGCGCTCCCCTCTGCTGCCACCGAGACCCTTCAGGCCGGCGAGTGATCGTGCTCGGCCCGCCAGCCTGCAGATCCCCGTGGTGAGCTTCAGATGCCTGCAGCCGGACCTCAGCCCTCGGTAGGGAAACACTCGTTGAGTGTTCATTTATTAGGGATTTCACTTGTGACTTGTAAAATTACACAAATTGTCTGCAGGCTAATTTGTTTGAGGGAGCATGAATTGAGTCACTATGTCATTAGTGTTCTAATTTTATTTACATCAACTCTGCAGACACATTTGCAAAGAAAGTATTTACTGCTTTTACGTGCTAAGTTTCAGAAAAGCAAACAGATCTGAAAATATATTGATTAAATTCCTATTTGTTAAACATCATATATATACACACAAAAATAAAATTAAAATATGATAAAATAATAAATGGGCCTCTATACAGGAGGTGTTCTACAGTCAGTCATTTTTAATGTTGTCATCGTGTCATCAAAGTTTTTGATTTCTTTATTACAATCCCTCGGCCTTGTGTGAAACTCAGCGTCTCCCTGCTCCTGCGTGTCCTCAGGTTTGTGGACGGGTTCGAGACAGACAACCACAGCGCTGCAGCTCCGAAGTTTGATTTTACTCCCAGTGCATCTCCGAGTTTCTTACCCAGCCCTGACTCAGCCACCTCAGGTGAACACACACAAATGACTGGACCACGTTCATTTCTTATTTTAAAGGACATTATCTGCCTCGTCTGAGATTCATGATTCATTGACGTGTAATTGAATAAATGAATGAATAAACTAGTCTGTTCTTAATTATCAGCTGTTGATGCACTTGTTCACTCAGCATGTGTGTGTCCACAGGGGCCCTGGATGATGGGGACACCATGCAGACTATTGCTAAGCTAAAACATGAGGTAAGACTGATAAAAAAACAAAGAGACAAACAATAAAAAAAACGAAATCCAAAATTGTAATTTCTAGTTTGACTCCTTTGTTTCCCAGTAACCCTGAAGATGAACTTGAGTCATTTTCTACTAACACACGACTCTTCTGATTCTCCAGATGAGCGTCCTTTCCCGTCAGGTGACAGCTGTGAGTCAGGAGCTGCAGGAAATGACGCGTCTCCTCAAGCCTCTCTTCCACAACCCCGCCGTGCTGCTGATACCCAACACTGTGACTCCGCCTCCCAGCATGTCTTCGCACAGCTGCTCCCCGGCCCCGCCCCTTCTCATCCGAAACACACCTGTGGAAGGTTCAGGCGAACGGAACCGTCCGGCCGACCCGGTACCCGAGCCGCCCTCTCCTCAGCTCAGCATGAAGGCCTCACGAGGAGAGTTCCATCCCCTTCAGTGTTCCCCTCCCCAACATCCTCCTCCACTTCCTCATCACACCAACACGCCTCGCCACCTCTCCCATCGCTCCGCTCCCCCATCACTCAACAGCTCTCCCCATGAGCACACAGCTGTGCCACATCTTCACTCATCCTCCTCCATCCCCTCTCTTTTCTCATCAAGCCAGCCGTCATCCATCAACCCCCTCTTGGTTCACTCATCCGGACGTGGTAGCGAGCCACAGTCACATCTCCTGTCGCAGTCTGAGTCCCAGCTCCAGTTCCATCCTCAGTCCCAATTCATATCCCAGTCTTCCCTCTCCCAGCCTCACCTCCAGCCCCTTCTCCAGCCCTCACACCCCCGAGATCCAATCCCGAACCTGCACGAGATGGAGTGGGGGGAGAGCACGGCCCAGCTCAGCTTCGTCGACGAAGGACAGCCGTCAGCGTGAGCTGAGAAGAACGAGGCACTGACACTTGCACGGGACTGGACGGGGACCAGCATGCACCACACGACTTACTGCATGACAAACACTTGCCTAAAGTTTGGCATGTGAGTAGGATGTAAATACATTGGTTTTAAAGGATTCTAAACTATGATCATGTGCACCAGGTGTAAGCAGATCCGATAATAAAAGAGTTGGTTTTACAGTTTCTCTTTTATTAGTTTGATACTTCGCCGTAAACCGAGAAGAATTTATGTGAAAATCTGTGAGCGTGAAAACACTATTTACACACTGCCAGACACAAACAGCTGATGATTCAAGTCTGAACTACATCCAGTCTTATTGAACCAATCAGGAACCAGAGGAGGAAAAACAGGAAAAAAAGGACAGTTCATTTTCTGAAAGACAGATAGACGGATAGTGAGGCAGATGACGCCCCTGTCCACTGGCTTCCTCCTGTAGTTGTGCTGCTCATGGAAGACCCACCAACCCTCCAGGACCCTGCAGGACTGAAGTGCTCTCAGAGGGGCAGACATCAGTGTCTGGATCTGCAGCGGCCTGAGTGAGGACGATAAAGAAGACGACCAGGGGAGAAGAATGAGATTTGAGATCTGGAGACTTGATGACTTTGTGGAAAAACAGATATTGGGGAGAGGAAAGGGGGATTTGGTGGAGGAGTGGCAGAAGAGTACAGGGTCGATGACACAACAACGAATGTGAAACACCAGAGGTAAGTTTTGATTGACGTCAATTCAAAAATCACAAGACACACAGCCTCATATTGAAGCTTCAAGCCTTTACAGAGGGGAAAAGATATCTGGTGTCCGAGGTCTAACAAAGTGGATCATCCTGCAGGTCCAGCTCCGGTAGTCCGGGTACTTGCCTCTGGCCAGGAATGTGCTGATTACCCAAGAAGCCTGGTCATTTTGTTAGCAACAACAAATGCTTGGACGTGTGTAATTAAACACGATAGCTTATTGTAAATGTTAATCTAAATCAAGCTGAAGTCAAAGAGATGCATCTTTAGCTGCAGTTCCTTCGATGACTACTAGATGCCAGTGTTGGCAATGCTCCTGGTCTGATTGTACTCCAGCTCCACACAGCGAATCAGAGAATCTGCTCATGTTTTAAAAACATCCTAAAATAATTGGGCTGCGAGTTACATGTGATTATCAGAAGCACCACAAGGGGGCAGCATTTCCCCACAGAACAACAAGCACAACTGTTGATGGGAGGTTCAGATGTTCTCTACAGTTTGAAATGTCAGAATATCCCTGACCTGAGTGACAGGAGCTTACAAACATATGGCAGGTAAAGACTGGAGCTGCACAAAGAAAATCAATCTTCAGTTAATTTATTTATTTTAACAAAATTGTAAAAGAAAAATGCAGAATATTTTTGCTTCCAGCTTCTCAAATTTCAGAATTAGAAATTAGAAAATGTATTTTTCTTTGTCTAATTATACTTTAAAGATCACGTCTGGGCTATTGAAGGGGATTTTAACTTTTTTCTGATTCTCAAAGACCAAATGATTAAAATAAAATCATCAGTAATTAGTCTTCTGTTTAAAATCATTTAAAAAAAACAACCATCAGTAAAAAAGTAAATGCATATAGCTTCAACATACAGGTAATGAAAGCTGGTTTGTTTTTACTGAGGCCTTGTGAAAGTCCTCTGTAACTGCAATGCATACCACCGCACGCACGCACGCACGCACGCACGCACGCACGCACGCACGCACGCACACACACACACACACACACACACACACACACACACACACGGCTCTTACTCATGGTGAGTGACTTGTGGTGAGCTGTCAAAGATGCTTAAGATGATGTAGGACAGACAAGTGTTGGCAGTGCCTGTGTGCGCGCGCGCACACACACACACACACACACACACACACACACACACACACACACACACACACCACAGAGGAGGAGCGACAGGACGGCAGACAGGCTGAGTGGTAATGATAGGTGACTATTCTTCCATCTAGAATAAATCAAGGAATGCTGACCACTGTGATCCAGAACCGCCACTTTAACAGACACATAAATAAACATACAGAACTTATACAGTAAGTGACGGATGGATAGAATGCATATGAAGTAAATACACTCTCTTTATGTCCCTTCTTAAGGATTTTTTAATCACATTTTTTGGCTCATAAAATAATAAAAATGGAGCGTTTTATAAAAGAATATTACAAAAATACAGAATAATCAATCAATCAATGAAAATAACTCTCAGCCATTAAAGAATTGAATGAAGGCTGAATTAACCTCTAAGTTTAAAGATGTACATCGTGTGGTGCTGAGCAAAAACCAATGTTTAAAATCTGAAAGCAGGAAAGTTATGACACAGTGAAGCTCTGTATTTAATATATCGTTGCTATTCTCATATGCATTTTAAATATATATATATATATATATATATATATATATATATATACACACACAATATAATAATAAAATGTTTCACATAGCACTCTTCTAGGAGAAGAGTATAAAAGAATTTTCTCTAGTATGTGTTGTATTTGTGGCTGCAAAACTGTGCGATGGAGGCTGTGTGCCCATCTGGCCCCGGCCCGTTTTGGGTCATGGTTAGGAGTCGTAGTGAAGGAGGAGGTTTTCATGGAATGCTCAAAAAATTCCCAAAGCCATATTTATTTCAGGTTCAGTCCTTTAACTCCAGGTGGTTGTTTTTTTCTCCACTAGGCGGCAGAATACAAGCGTCTCTGTTATGTCCCTGTTTTGAGAATCTTAATCACCTTTGAACATTTCTCCTCCGATTTGATTTTCTATTAACACGATGATCATTAATCACCTTTCTCTCTAAGCTCACTCTCTTCTCAGTCTTCTCGTCCTCCTCACAGCATCTGGGACATCAATTCTCTTTTTCTAAATGTGTCATCACATTATTCATTTGTCTTTCTAGAAAAAAGATGGAAGCTCTTTTTACCCACGTTCTGCTCGACCCTACTTTGTATTTACCTGAGGGTGATTGTTTGAATAAATTATAACCTCTTTTTTTCTGAACGTGTGTCATTCTGTCTCCAGGTTTCCCTCCCAAACCCCATCTACCTCCTCCCTCTTCCTCCCTCCCTCCCTCCCTCCCTCCATGTGTCATTTTACTGCTCTTTACTCAGCAGGCAGCAGCACTCCGTCCTCATCTCTCCTTGTCTTTACATCTCCCCTGTCTGCTCTCCTCGTCTGGCGTGAGCTTTCATTACTTTTTTTTCTTGTTCTACGAAGGGAAACGTTGGAAAACCCATATTCTCTCAGGCTGGAGTCCCTCGTTTTCACCAATGGATGGAGTTTATTCCCCAGCAAGTACAGCGACGTCCTGAGAAGTGAGTGAACATTTACTTAAAAGTTGATTTATGGCATTAAAACTTGGAAAACGGTGATAAAATGTTCAAGTAAATGAGTTGAAATGTAAAACAAAAAGTGATGCAAATATCCACACGTCTGAAAAGGAGATTTCTGGCCGTTTTGACTCTAGCTATAAAATATCTGACTATAGCAATTGATAAATAAAAGAAGCCTCACTTGACTTACACTGGTTGAGTTAATTATACAGTTAAAAATAACCTTCACCATCACAAATATACTTTTTAGTCATTTACGGCATCTTTGTATGAAGTATGACGTGAAAAGTAGTTTTCTTGTCGACTGTTTTGGTATTTAACATTTCACTTGATGTAGAGTATTTAATTAGGACCAATTATGGTCATTTGAAAAAGCAATTCATTTGTTTTTGATCCTGATTACATTTTTAATATTGTAATATATCAATTTTCTTTTTTTTAAAATCAATATCAGTTAGGTCTCTCTGATCAAATTTGTCACGAAGTACAGATACATACAGTTATTGACAACTATTGTAAATATTGTGTTGATAGTTCATTGATTTTAATTATTGCTTTATAGAAACAAACATGAAAAATACATAGAGGAAACTAGGAATTGATTGTTGGGAGATCTTACTCACTTCATTTCCTTTTTGATTAGTGTTTGACTTGTGTTGTTTAAGACTGAAGAAGCTGCTGTTTGCTCTTGTTTGCTCTTGTTTTGTTCTTTGTTGTATTTTGTAAAGCAGATCGTAACCTTGTTTAGATAACTGCAGAAGAAATAAAGTTTATTTCTATTATAAAATTAGGCAAAAAACAATGGAGTTTGTTAGAGCCCTGCTCCCACTGGGTGTTAGCTACAAGTTTTACTTTATTTATGACAAAGCCAATTCAAAATTCCTACAATATAATAAGCAACACAATATATCCATTTTTTTTTTTTTTACAGAATACAACAGAAAAAACACAAAATATATAAGTTGACTTTATTCACATTCACTTTTGATAATTATGTGTTTTTGACTTTTAAGATAACTTTCTGTTGCGTTGTGTTACTTGCCACAAGTTGTGTTTACATGCACATGGATAAAAGTGGCCAAAAAAATGAACGGAGTTCTGTGGATCCCTGCTCCCACTGGAAGTTTTTCTTCAGTTACGCCAAACTCAATTCAAAATATCTTCGATTCAACATTCGCCTTCTGTAAAGCAACATATTTCCCCCACCATTGTTAATAGCCTGCAGTTAAACAGATCCTTTTCACAGGCGGGTCATTGGTCAAACACAGCTGCAGCTATTACATTAATAATGAGCCACGGTGCGTTTGATTTACTGACCCACTGAGCGTTAACAATGGGCGGCTCATTTGTAAATGTGAACAGAGCCATTATTTAATTATGTTAGCTTGCACCTGTGTTTGTCAGCTGAACAGGCACCCGAATTGACCAGAATATCCTAAAAACATCGCCAGTATTTAATCTGTGTGTGTATTTGCTCTTCATTAATAATAATAATGTAAAATAAGTGTTTTTACATGTATTTAAATGGAGTTCGTTGCCAGACAATTGTAGGAGCTTCCTCTGTGAAAACAAGGTTTTCCTTTAAGATGTTCCAATATACAAAATGAAATGATATAAGATTTTCAGGTTTCTAATGTGATGTGGTGCAACAACAACAGACCTCTATGACCAGCATGATGTTAACATTACTCCTACTCTCTGATAGGTGGGTTCATTTAAATGTGCTTAAAAGACTACAAAAAGACAGATTTCAGATTTAGATTCTCTTACACATGATGTGAGGTCTTTTGTGCTCTGCAGCCTGTGACACGAGCATTTATGCATGGGTGGTGTTTTTTTGTTGTTGTTATATTATTAGTGAATATAACTGGGTTTTCTCTGAGGCAAGTCATTTAGTTTGGGCTCTTGTAGGGGTGTAGGACGTTTTCGTTTAGGCTGCACACCCAGATCAGTCATTTTACCTTCTTCACCCACTCAGCGACCCACTGAACCACAATTTCTTCACCAAACCAACCTTCAGCTACAGTCCTCATTATGTCTGGGATTCCCTGGAACCTCTCAAGGGCACTGGGGTGTCATCAAACCCCACTTGAGTAACCCCACATGGAGGGGATCCACAGTTAACCCAATTATACTTAAGCACTCTTAAACTCTTCAAGAGACCCCTTAAATTAGACCCTGCCTAAATTAATTTGCAGCCGCCTGCAGTTGTCTGTGCGTTTCTGTGCGATTTGTCAGTGGGAGGCTACTGAGAGCGACTGTACATTTGGCCGCCATGTGTGCTGGTAAAGTGAACAAGAGTCTGTCGCTGGGAGTGTGTTGCTTGAAGTGGTTAGAGTGTGTATGTGTGTGTGTGAGTGAGTGAGTAACACTTTTAATAATCAGAGGCCCAAGTGCAGAAAACACCTCTTTTCACGTATTAATGATGGGAAATAGACAATACAGTTTAAAAAAAAAAAAAAATTCCTTAATCCTGGATAGTTTTTCATTTTCCTGACCTGGACGTAACTTATTAGATGACGTGACCGTGACCCACAGACATTACAGATGAAGTAATTTGTCAATCAACAAATTTTGATTTAATTTGACTAAAATGGTTCTTGCTTGTATCATCATGATTGTAGACGGAACATGTTTGCTGTTTAATTTGCGTTAGTTTGTTCCTGACATGAAAGAATTAAAGTGTGTAATTGATCAGTATATAATAATTTATTATTTGTATTATTTATTTATTACATATTTGTTGTAGGGCAAAAGGACTGGGAATGTCTGTCCCACCCTCTTAAAACACTTTTAATATATATATAGAAATGCATAAAACTATATTCTGCGGTAAATGTGTTTTAATAGAGTGAACACTGATGGAATCCCAACTCAGATGCTGCCGAAAAAATAATCATAAACCATAAATAACCGACTTCTCCAGCTCAAAGCAACAGTTTCCTGTATTAAAAGTTTATCTGAACATGCACAGAATACACAGTTTCTCTCAAACACCCACAATCATCTTTTTTATTCCCTCTGCACATTTTATGTCTCCTCATTAATGACTTAAATATCTGGTTAGAGGAGAGATTATGAAGGAGGGACGGGGGCTGATTATTATCCATTGCCCCAAACATTCCAAAAATGTGTTTATTGAAAGCAGACCGAGCACGTATAGATGGAAATAGAGAGAGAGAGAGAGGCTTTATGTTTAGTGACACTTGGACAGATGAGTGTTGTGTTAAAATGTGTGAGAAAACTGTGTAGTTTCATTGGCATCGTTACCTTGTTTGTTGTGTGTTGATTTGAGAAAATCACTGAGAGAAATCAAGCATTTAGTAATTTTCCTCCCCTGGGGTGAAATGGAGCTCCACCAGGGGAAAGAGGAAATCGCTTCAGTGGCTTGTGGGTTTTGTGGACTGGAGAAAGCTCAGTATTGATTCAATCTTTCATGATTATAGATTGATAAGGAAATTAGAAAAGACGTGTGTGGGATGGACAGCTGCATCCCGAGGGACAGGAGGACTGACATAGACGTCTTTTACAAACAAAACGGGTCAGTAAGGTCTCTCTGCCTGACCAAGAATAACCCACCGGCCCCAGTGATCGTGTCCTAAACGTGTCCTATACTTTCCCTGCCATGTCAAGAGCGTGGTCAGGGTCAGACTCAGTTTTCATGGAACCTGCATCTTGTAGCTTTGCGTCGGTTTCACATTTGTGTCTGTGGTTTTCGTTTAGCTTTTCAAATTAGAAACTGCGACACTTCTCGAGGAAAGGAAATTAGAAATTGCCGTGTCCAACACAGTTAGGACACAGGCTGTTTCCCCTGTCCTGAGACTTTAGCCCCTCTCTGCTTCCAGTGTTTCTGCTAAACTAAGCTAAACCCCCTCTAATCTCTAATCTTTCAGTGAAAGAAGCACTTGGAGATGAAACTGATTCCTCGTCTCGTGCAACTGAGTCTTTACAGGGACGGTTAGAAGACGAACTAAACAGTTGAACCACAGCATCCAAATGTGATGTTGCAATAGCACGTCATTGTACAGTATCAATGGAGCCTCGAGTGCAAATTTTGAAATTCAAGCTCAGTTACGTAAATCCAGCGCCACGGATTTAAGAGAGAAACTTTAAGATCCATGCTGTGAGTTATTTACTTATTTTCTTACTTGTTTGTGTTGGACTGGCTTTTTTTTTTATTGGCAGCAATTAATTTAGCATGTGTGTGTGTGTGTTTTTATTATAATCATGTGTCGCTTTCGGGTTGAGATTCGTGTGTCTGTGTGGATTTACAGTCATACCAGAGGAAACCGCACAGTTTGTGTGTGAGGCAGAACAACACAAAGCTTTTCCAAAGAAATGGTGCAGAGTTTATGAAGCAGTGCATGATGCTGCAGATTTCATCTCAACTATTCATGCACATTTTTTTCCATGCTTTGCTGACTTTTCAATGCAAAACAAATGTTGTTTTAAACTCAAGTTCTTTGACAGTACAACAAAGCAAAGAAACGTTTTTATCGTTTTTCACAACGACCTCAAATGTTCAATTTTTATATATTTTTTTCATTTAAAAAAAAAAGACACATTTATCTGTCTTACTGTTGTCCTGGGTGTCCCATGTTGTGTTTGTCGTTGCATTGTGTCCCGTAATGTCCTGTCATGTCCCGGTGTTATGAAATTCCAGGTAATATTGTGACTTGTTGGCTCTTGTACTGTCATGTCTCTGTCCTCTCCTGGTTTCCCATTTAATTGATATGTTTAAATCACAAAAGCATATTTTTCTTTGTATAAATGCTGACCTTATATCACAAAAACAGTAGAGAAAACTTTATATTTAGCAAAAACTGCTTTATTCAGCATAAGTAATGACCTAATTAGCATGTGTGGATATGTAATAATTGTAACTATGCACTTAGGAATCACACCAGACTTGATTTATATAGTGTATATATGTCAAAACGCAACAATGCAGCAATTTAAAGAACAATAACATAAATACATAAACTAGAAAAGAAAGAAATGAAGCTGGCAGATTAATTAAAAGGGATTAAAAGAATGCTAAGCTAAAAAGGTAGATTTTAAGTTTCAGCTCCACTGTTCCAGAGGCCAGGACCATAAACACTAGGTGCCAAATCCCCAGAATTCAGTGTGGTTGCTCCCACGGAACAACTACCAGCCCAGTGCCCGAGGACCTGCGTGATGTAGAGGGAACAAACATTCAGGTGCTTGTGCATCTAGTGAAAATTATCATCATCAAACCAGTTTTATTCAATGCAGTTTCCGTCCCTACAGTCGACAACATCAGTGTTCCACACTGGCCTCACACACCTTCACGTCTGTCATCATCATGTGTTGTTTGCTTCTGCATCCAAACACTGGATAATACACTCGTCTGTATTTGGGCTGCGAGTGAACGCCACTTGTCGACCTGCGATGTGTTCCAGATGACTGTGTCCGTCTGTTGTGGTCGTCCGTGCCTCTCTTGTAACAAAGACATGGGTTTTGGAGCAGGGATAAGATGAACAGAACAGAAACATTGTGTAATGGCTCTACACAAAGATAAAGTAACTGCACGCTCATCGTTCTCTCTGCTCTCCAACTAAAACCTTGAATAAAAAACAAGTTATCATCTTTTGTCAGTAATTTACAGACTTCCATTCCATTCATGTTAGTATTTAACTACAAAAACTAAATTGCGACCAAGTTTTATGGTTTTATGTCAACTCTACTTTTATCTCCTAATTTCCAACTGTTTAAATCTCGAAACATCTGTAAAAGTTCTTAAAATGATTTACATTATGGGGAATGACTGCATAAATCCATATGGTTTAATGAAATATAGCATTAGAGTTGGGCTTAAGTTAGAGGACTTTCTGAACTCTCTTATAGATCACGTCAGCGTCCTTATCTCGAAGGTGACCAGATTGTTCTAAAGCATGCTCCTCTGTTCCCTCAGCTCCACACACTGTGCTGGGCGCTCCCCCTGAAGCGTTTGTTGGGATGGAGCAGCACGGAGGGGGAATGGAGAACCCCGTCCTCCAGGACAGCGCCAGCCCAGAGGAGAGGGGGGAGAGCCCTGCCTCCAGCGGTCCGCCGCCTTGCAAGTTGAGCCGCCTGGAGGTCAACGGCAGCCCAGCGAACCCACAAAGCCGGCAGAACGGCACGCCACTGAGACCACTAGGAGGTAAGGCATGAAGACGAGCATGCACTGCAGGGATACAGAGACTAACGCCTGCTCAAGTAAAGTCTTTAACTAAATCTGGAGTCCATATTAAGACATTAGATAATCAATTTAATTCAACCTTATTTAGCCCTTTTTTCACTGGTCAAAAAATCCACCAACTCCCACTAACATCTGGCTTTTGTCTGGATACCATCAGTATTTACTCACAAGTCAAATGACTCTGCTGTACTCTTCGGTTTTTATCAGCTCTGGCTCTGATCGACATTGACAGAAGCATTGGCAGAATGGACACTGCACCTTTCTGGAACATAAATAGCCATGAACTTTTATGTACTTATTGTTTTTACATCCTGGCAACAACAGACAGATGAGACTTTTCTTTCACCGGAGGAAACAGAAAAGCAAACTCTACTGGCAATGGGAAAGGAGTCAATCGCCTTTTTCTTCAGGTTTACCTGCATTTTAAAAAAACCTGATGTTGGTGTAAAAGAAGTTTTACAAGGCCCGGCATAATTTCCCTGCAGTTTTAGAGAAACACTCAGATTTAATACATTTACGAAATATATTTATGCATAAAAAACTAAGAAAAAGGTACCTCTGAGGAAAAGGTCCAGTGTGAAGAGTTGTAGTAAAGGCAGTACAAGTGCACATAGAGTAAAACACAACCTTACAAGTCCAGTCCATGAAAATTTAAATGTATTAGCACTGAAAAATTGTAGGGAAAGATATATTAACTTGCTAAGTATAGAGTTAAGTGGGGGAGCAAAACCTGAATGTTACAAGGCCTGGATTCAGTTTGATGTTGAAAATGTTCCTCAGATGTTCGTCCATTCTGACACGACTGTTACTCTTTTTTTTTTCCTTTAACACTTTATCGCAGGTCCTTTCAATCTGTTATTAGTTTTTTCTTTCCTGTTTAAAAGATATATACCCATCAGAGTTTCCCAGAGCACAAGGTGACTCTGAATACGAGACGAGAGGCAGAGAATGTTTGGAATGATGAGCGACTCACTCAGTGACGTTAACTCATCAAAACTGTGCTTTTAGGGTAGAGGAGCAGCTGAGGATGTCATGCAACAAAGCGCCACATCAAGAATCCAACCAGGACCGTGGCTTTTACGAGCTGTTTTCAGAAATGAACTCTGCAAAATTGGTTCCGGACGTCTCACTTATGAAGAACACAGCACGAGATTGTCCGGATCAGATGTAGTCAACACAACTGGAAAGCGTCTAGAACATTTAGGCAAGGGGTGGTGTCTGGGTAGAGCAGCAGAAGACAGGACATGACGTATAAACTCCGCAGTGTTTCAGTGTTTTCACTTCCTCTTTGGAAAGTCTATTTTAGGATCCTGCTGTTCCTCTTGAATTTAAAGTGTTTCTATAAATCTAAAATCTCTAAGGCCAATGATAGCATGGTTATTTTTAGCGTGCACACACTGCAGTGGACATAACCTGTTAATACACAACCCCTGCACACAGGTAACACACACTGTGTTGATACGGCACGCAGAGTCTTAAATACCCAACACTCGTGTACAAATGCCCATTATTCTCTCATGCAGTTGAAAACATCATCATGCATCACAAACATTGTAATAGTATACACACACACAGGCTGAGCTGCCTCCCTCCACCCTTCCACTGAGTTGTTGCCTGATGCTGCTGCGGTTTGGCTCCAGCTGATGTGTCACTAAACTGGATTGATGGCTTGTTAATTAGCATTTCCTGTGGGACTCGGCAGTGGACTGGATGGGTGTGAAAGGTCCAGGCGTTGAGGAGCTCTTGGTACTTTCCCAAAAAGTCTTGTCTACACCAATGTCTTGTTTAGGATCCAGTTCCAACGCTGGAGTTCCCTCCTGAGTACGAGATGATATAGATATTATATCCAGCAGCACTTTAAGAGCGGTTCTGGATACGAGGCTTATTCCTTGTGGGTTTTAATGTGTGGTGAAAACACAAATACAGTTGTACAAATCTCACACTGGCAGCTGCCCAGTTCAACCAGTCTTCTTAAACCACAAAGCAGCTACACTGACACTGCGTCAGTTAAAACTCGGTTTCTGTAGAAATCCCTGACACGGAGATCCTGTTCATGAAAACATAGACGACAAAAAGGAAGCGTAAGAATTCCTCCAGAAAAGTTCCTCTCTTTTGACCAGTTGTCACTTGGACTCAAACATTAGGTTTTCATGGTCAAGGGTCAAAGGTCACAGTGACTTCATATGAGTCTGGAAACAGTGTAACCCGGACCCCATGATTGATGAAGACACAGAGCAGCTCAGTCTTCTTCTCCTGTACGTCTCTATAAAGCTGTTTTCTCTGCCAGGTTTGATGATCCCAGTGTACTGCGTGGTCGAGCATGCAGACGTGGGAGGGGCCGGCGACTGCGAGGGGCGCGGCGACCGTCACGCCGAGTTTGTGTTGGTTCGTAAGGACGTCCTCTTCACGCAGCTGGTGGAGACGGCCCTCGTCGCTCTCGGATACTCGCACAGCTCGGCTGTACAAGCACGTGGTGAGTATTGTGTGGCCACAGGTGCATTTTCAAATCCATATATTACAGCATCATTCGGTCTTTTACACCACAAATGACACACATGATTATACACACACACACACACACAGAAGGGCAGTTTGACATTCCTGGTGTCCCCATAAACACAGGGCGCTGTAACCAAGTGGCCGACGCCCTGCGACCCCCCTCGCCTCTCCCAAATAGCTAGGTTTTGTTCTGTGAAATAAGCCTTTTCTTTTCAAATAAATATTTTTTGGCTGGAGTCGTGCATTTTTCCCCCAGTGTGGTCACAACCAAAATTATACAGAGTCTCTGCTATTTTCTTCCACGATTGAATTGCATCTCATAACTTTGGCTGGATGAGTATTTTTAAGCTCTTAACTGGCACAGGGGATTTTTTTTTTTCTTCAATTAACTTGCACATTAAGGGTAATTAAAAAGAAGCTATTTCTTATTTGGTGTATATGGTTTCTGCTCTGCATTTAACATGGGACTTGCTGAGCTGAAAAATATATAAGAAAATGTAATTTAAGGCCATGTTTTAGGAAACATTCACTGGCTCCTCACTCAAAATATCCATTTACTGTGTCGTAGGATTTGCAAAGTGGATCCAAGAAACAAACCAGATCCTTTTTAGTAAACACACTGAATTTCATCTTTAACAAATTATTCTAAGCATTTTTTAATATTATCACTTAAACTGAGCTTCTGAAATATTTAATTTTTACATGCCCAAGCTTCTAATGTTGATGTGACTCTGAGAAGTGCAGCATTACATGTTTTTTTTCATACTAGTAGTTTCATAATCAGATGAAATTGTTCATTTCTTCACCTCATTATTCAGTCTCTTCATTTGTTCATTTTTGCAGGTTTTTGTTTGAGAAGTGGGATAATTTTGCAAAAGCCAATCAGCAGTGACTGATGTCTCCCTCTCGCCACAGTTGTTTTATGTCAAAACAGGAGCTCTGGTTGTGTTTAGTACGAGAAAATCAAGGAAATATGTCCGTTTGAGTTCATTTAGAAAAACCCGTAGAGTCAGTTATATCCTGACTTTACTTTGACAGTTTTCTTAGCGCTGGCTTATATTCCTTGTCGCCTACAAAACTCTAATGAGATGAGTTGTTTATTAACAGCGAGGATATCGTCAATAAGAACCAAAACAGACTTATTTTGGTTCCAATTCAAAGATCTGAACTGTTAATATTTGTTAGATAAAACTAGATCTATTCCAGCTTCCTCCCAACGTCCAAAAACATGCAGTTTTAGTCTTTCTCTCATTCACACCTTAGCTTAATTTAGAGTCTCAATCAATCCCCAATCTGCAGGTCTTTGGATCAATACGAGGACAACAAGCAAACTCCACACAGCAAGTTCATTAATTCATCTCAGGGCAGGAAGAGTTTAAAACATCAGTAACAAGTTGATGATATGACAAAATTTTAACAATCATTTCCAAAACAAAGGCAGCTGTAGGAGGAAACGTCACAGTGTTTATTCAGAGCATCAACATGAAAACGCCGCTCTCACTCACAGCCCGCTCTCATCTTACACCATGAGCTGATTTTACATTTCTCCTCTGATTAATCAGCCGGAGAGTCCAAAGAGAGCGAGCCTTTGTTCTTGTGCCCCTATCACCATATCACCACCACACACACACACACACACACACACATACACACACACACACACACACAGACAGGACGGAGGCTGGCAGGCAGGCCAGGGCCAGGCAGCGTCTGGGTTTGATTTAGCAGGTCCTAACGCGATTAAGCTTGTTTGGATTTGCACTTGTAGTCACGGTCGTATCAAGGCCAAGGGAATGTTAAGCCCAAGATCAGAGTTTCACAGACGCATCACACAGCACCAGATTTACATTGATAACATGTTTTAATTGTGTGTGTGTGTGTGTGTGTGTGTGTGTGTGTGTGTGTTCTCCAGGCATCATTAAAGTGGGCCGGTGGAAGCCGATGCCCATTCACTACCTAACAGATGCACCAGAAGCAACAGTGGCCGACATGCTGCTGGATGTTTACCACATGGTCACACTGGGGATTCTACTGCACAGGTCAGCTGAGTGTGTGAGTGTGTGTGTGTCAGTATAGAGTAATATGATGATTAAAGCGGTTGCTGGTTCATCAAAAATAAGTTTTTCATTTGTGCAGCTTTGCCCGACTGGAGGAGCTGCCGTCAGAGCAGTGGACGCACGCCACGGTGAGGAACGCCCTCAAGGAGCTGCTCAGAGAGACCAACCAGAGCGCTCTGGCCAAGGAGTGCC